GCTTAGGGAGTTGATCCAATAGCCAGGAGAATGCAAACCACAGCTCACAGACAACAGACATCCCCCACAGCCAAACTGCATCCTCGTTTTTGTGTTTAATTCTCCATGCAAGAAACAGGGCAAGAACAGCCATGCGGACAAAGATGAGAAGCCTGCAAACCAGAAAGCATAAAATTATTAAACTCAATTATAAAGAAAACCTGGTATTACGAATGAGGAGCTAAAAGTTTAGAGAATGGGATGCATATATAAATAAGATTCACACAAACAGCATAAGTCTGTCCAAGTTGAGGATATATCAAAAAACATATTCAAAAGGTTCATCCATGAAGAATGATATGACCACTGCAGACAAAAATTTGACATAGCAACTGATGCCAAATTGAAGATAACTCAACCAGAAGAGTCAGCGAGCTAGGCCCTTTCAAAAGCATGTGAATCCTACTTCACATATTGAACTTTCAGACTCGAGCCCATTTATATGTGTCTGCCCTCGCCATCCTTGGAAGCTCACTTTCTAGAATACTTGGTAATGTGATGCAAAACATGGTCTCACTCCTTTTCCACCTTGAGTGGAGCGAATGATCTTAGGCAAATATGTCATGATTCTCCTTAATATAAGCCTACAATGATGTTTCTTCATTCAAATTTCACAAGAGTCTGATTCATCTGGCACATACATAAGCTACAGACCACACAAATTTGATCAGTAGGTATTAGACACTGTTTCTACCTAACGAAAACAGAGCAATTTGAAAAATGATCACAGTTTTTTATTTAAAAAATAATAAAACTTAAATTTCATACAAAAAATGAACAGAACCAGCTGTTGCAATTACCTATATGGGCTCAATACTGCAGCAGGGATCTTCAACTTTCTAGTGAGAGGCCTCCATGGTTTGTTTGTTAGTTCTGTAGGCTGTGCATTTCCTCCATCCCCACCATCAACTTTATTCTCAGTTGGCCAGATTGCATTACCATAACCATAGGTCCCCTTCGTTTCAAAAAGCCATCGATTGTGATCCCAATCACTTGTCTGACTCCTGGTCATTTTCTGTGATCTCATTATCGAAAGCCTCCTTTCCATTTTTGACATTCCATGTGGAGCTGGCAATGAAAGTGGTCGTCCAGCTACAGCGTTGCTGACCACCTCCTCCAACTCAATAGTTTTATATGGTTCTTTGCATCCTGGACAGATCCCACCACCAACCTTCACTGCATCCGAAAAGCACTCGGCACAGATTTTAAAATCACACTCACAAGGAAGGATATCAACCCCACGCTCATCACTCATGACCTTCGAGTCACATCCTGGCATCGCGCAGGATGAGCCCTTGGCACCAGCCATCTGAGGATGGCTCGCCTCCGACTCGATCACCTTGTCCATCAGATGAGCACGAGTGACACTATTGCATCCACCTGTGAACAATGAATTTGAGACGTATTGCTCTTCGACCTTCGCGGAGATAACAGGATCCATGGGTTGATTGTCCGGAGTTGGCGGGATGTGGACATGATAGTTCGTATATTCCTTGTCGAAATCACCACTTCCAAAATCACTGTCAAGATCATCCCTGGAGTAGCTGACATACCGGCCCGACGGAGTTCGACGGGCAAAGGTGACAGTGGGCGGCACATTCGTCGGTCTACCATCGGCCTGCTGCTGATCAGATGACGAGGCTACCCGCACGGATCTACTGACCCTAAGAACATTGTTTGAATCCATGTCTCTTCGCTCTTAAATACGTAAATATCCCCGTTTCACTATCCACAAACTTGGGGAAAAGGGACAGAGACAAGGACCTGTAAAAGCAAGGGAAGAATCAAAACTATCTTGCACACGAAATGAAAGCTAAAAATCCAAAGCTTTTCAAGAAATGTGCAAAATTAAGCATTTGGAAGCGCTCTGTTCAGTTCATCGATTAGCTGCGTGGTAGCGTCAGAAGCCATCGCACTCGTCAAGAAAATCCGAAAACGGATCGTTTGGAACGAAGACTTTAAAATGCGGGAAGCATACCAAAAGGCTGAACTTTGTTAAAGAATTGCCCAAAACGCTTCAGAAGAAGCTATGCAACGGTTAGATCACATACCTGAGAGTCCGACGAGAGAGAGGGGGGATAAACTAATAATGCTTCTTCTCCGAGTGTGAGAGGGCGCTCGACCAGGTCTTTCTATAAGAGGCGTTTCAGAGGTTGCTGGATTTGACGCAGATCCCGACCGATTCTTCACTCAGACAACACAGCTGAACGGTTCAGCTCCTGTCTTGTTCCTGCGAGAACCGGATCAAGGGGAGGCGACGTGGCCTACGATGGAGCGCAATCGAGGGAAGAAGCTGGCCGGCGAGCGGAGGTGGCGCCTCTCGCTGTATCACCAGATCGTCACCATGGCGGACTGCTTTGGTCAGGGTTTGGCTGTGGGAAAGTGACGGGAGGAAGGGAGAGAGGGGCTTAGAAAAGGAGCGGCCTTTTTGCCCCTCGGAGAAAAGAGGTAAATTAAAATAAGATATTAGTTTCCTTACACAAAAGCATTGAGGTAGGCGAAGAGAACGTGCCCACCCATTTCGGATCCGCTGTTGGGTTCGAACACGTATCATGGTTTACGCTCTTCCAACGAATCCGTGGCGGACAACTGGAGAAGTGGGGGGGGTTTGGATAGCAAACAGTTGATGCGCCCGCCTTACTTTATCTCAACGCGTACGCGCCGAGATGGGACCGTCATGGCCGTTCGATTCTCAATTATCCGCGTAAGTATGTAGTGGGGGGACAGCATTGACGCGCCGAGCCAGCCTCTGAGAATTCTCACAATGGGACCCACGAACTCCCCCACCCAATAAAACTGACACGTCTAGGAAGCAAATTTAAAAGCTGTCGGTCAACGGACAGCCGAGCCGCTCCCCCGTTGAGATGATGGAGATTGGCTGTAATATTTACATGCGCGGAAACTGCACGACTGCGATGCAAAGCGTACACATACTCGATCATTCTTCAAATATTATTCTTAAAATTATACACTAATATTAATATCATTAAAATTCCACAACGCGTTCAGATATCTCATATTTAAAACCCCACAAAACAAGTCTTAGGATGGGCTAAACCGCGTTGTGGTTACGATTGGAACCGGTCAAACGGGATTCGTCCATTTAGTCAAAGGAGGAGGCCTTTTTATAATTTTAATTTTAATTTTTTTTTCGATGACAAATTAACAATTGCGGTATACACGTAAACGGTGATTGCAATAGTAACGTTACGACCGGTGACCGTTATCTTATACCCGTAAGTTGCATTTAGAATGTTATAATCGCTTATAACGTTGTGTGATGTGTCCTCTCATGTCATATAACCGTCACGCTTATGATTCTATCGACGACGGGGAAATCTTCACGCGAATTCTCACCTGGCGACGCGTAGGGTAGGTCGCTGGTGCCACCTCTCATGATACGATCACGTTGGGAGAGGTATCTTTCTGGCGTAGGATGGGCACAACCGATTCGTACGCGCGTTTCCTACGCCTAAACATTACATTCGAATTTATTTTATTTTAAATTCTTCGAAAAATAAATTAGAAGGTATTATCGTTATTTTTGGGCCATCGAGGCCGTCTTCGGCGGTGGGGCACGTGCTAGAGGGACGATGGGGCCCACCCCGGTCCAGAGCACATGCCCACCGGCGTTTGGCAGCCGCGGATGCCACGGTGTCCGAATTATTCTCCGATCTAAATAAAATACAGAGAAGATTTCCATTTTCCTCCAAGATTAGGAATTTTTATTTGGAATTAAACTTAGCATATATAATGATGTCAAGTGTTGAATTGACACTAATATCCTACAAATTCTGAGCTCGGTGAATCGATAAGAATAATAAAAAGTACTTTAGGTATTTATAATTTTAATTTATATTCTACCTAACTTAGGATCTATGGCTCGAGTAACTTGTGGATTCTGCACGTGGCTTGAACACAGAATGAGAACATGCACAGTTTCAGACCTTCTGGAAGTGTGATGGGGCACATGCAATCACATGACAGGGAGGAGTGACCAAAATGGCCTCATTGCATCGAAATTAAATAGACCCGAATTAGTTATTTATCCTTCTGAAGTCGGTGATTTTAATATATATATATATATATATATATATATATATATATATATATATATATGAAGAGTTGTTTGCGCAAGAGAAAGCAATAAATTAGTATTGCAAGAAGATAAGTACTTGAGAATATAACAAGTCCAGAAAATTCATATAATCACGTCACTTTTAGACGTATGTATGGAAAAGGCAATGGTGCATGCACTCTCATGAGATCACCCACATGCTAAGTTCGCTTTCAAGCATCCATTAGGATCCCAAGTGGATGATGAGCAAAGTGTTTTGTTGGTCAGCACCAGCAGAAGATTTAAGGAAGATTATAAAGATCTGGGATCTCATCGAAAACAATCATGGATTCAGGCTGGATTAGCTCTGTTGCCTATTGAAATTAACTCCCATGAAGGAAGAGGAAGAAGATGCTGAAAATAGTTCTATTCCTTGATTGATTTAGCTTGACAAATTACAAAACACCATCTGCATGTTTCTAGATTTTTAACTACAATGAAAAAGCCTTCAGTTTGCTGACATGCCTCAAGTTATCTCAAACTAATAAAAGATAACCCTGGGTGTGAAAAGAACTTCACCAGTCACAGCAACCTCATGATTATTTTTATTAAATAAAAATACCTTTTCTCAAAAAATTGTCTGTACCAAAAATTAGAGTGTGATTTTGAGAAATTGATGATCGAGCAGATGCAAAAGGTATCCTCCAGCATGAACCCCATACAACTCAGTTTTCAATAACTGGAATTCTCAAATATGTTTACTCCATATTAGTGAAGTGTAATTTTGAAAAATTGATGATCAAGCAGATGTAAAAGGTATCCTCCATCATGAAGCACGTACAACTCAGTTTCCAACAACTGGAATTCTCAAATATGTTTACTCCATATTATTAGTGGAGCACAATTTGCAGCAAGTTGGTGACTTGGAGCAGCAGCAAGCTTTTTGAATTTTATCTGCTGAGTGTGGAGTTTCCGAGTACCACAAGGAGCATTATGTTCAACTCTTCCCAAGATTTTCTGCCAGAATTTTTCAGTGGTATCATATCACATACCGAGGAGGAAGATCCCAAACTGAAAAAAAGGACCGGCACATGGAAAGGTGCAACCATCTGATTCTGCCAAATTTGCTTTGACTCCAATTCATGGAGAACTACTTTTCTCTCAAGTTTACTCTTAAACATGCATGAATCCAAAGTCTAACACAACATCAAGACACGTGCCAGATGGGCTTCTCTTCAATGTAGGACAAGATATTCTTCAAAATCAATACTGTCAAACTCTTTTGATAAAGAATACAAGTTATCAATCAGATGGCTCAAGCATGATTTTCTTTTAGTAAATCCTCAGGCATTGTTGTCGGAACCAAGCTTAACACAGTATCTGCATCTTGTTAGTAAGCTTTGGTTTAAGTTATAAAAGACCCAAATGCTCACTGCTGGTAGATAAAACAAGATGACCAATCCTTGGTGGCATGAGAATTCACTGCTGGACACTTTCGGTCAAGTCCATTGTAGCACCTCTTATTCTAAGTCTGGCAGCCACATCATCCAGCATCTCGTATACCTTCTCAATCTCTGGTTTCGACCTATCCCCAATTTTAAAGTTGTGGACAATCTCATTTAAATCTACAAGTCTGTGACCAGGCATTGATCTTATTTCTCTGTTCCTCATCATCTCCTTCACCTTGTGAGCATCTTCCCACTTCCCTGCTGCCACATATATATTCTGCAACAAAGAATAGCGAGAGCCGTTTGAAGGTTCAAGCTCAACCAATCTCTTTGCAATGCTCTCCCCCAACTCCAATTCCCCACGAAATCGGCATAATCCAAGCAAACCTCCCAGGGCTAGTGATTCTTCATCCTCGGGCATGCCTCTTAATACTTCTTCCGCTTCTTCAACCAGACCAAGCCCTCCGTAGAGGTTTGCCATGCACCAATAATGAGCAAATGTAGGTTTGAGATTATACAACTTGGTCATCTGCTCAAAATATTTCTTCCCTTGGGTCAGTAGGCCTTTGCGGGCGCACGCACATAAGAGTCCAATAAAAGTAACTTCATCTGGTGAGATTCCTGTTGTTTCTAGGTGGAAGCTATCATTAGTTTCTTCATGCGTATCACAGCCTATACACAAGGAAAAGTAAAATGTTAACTCTTAAGAGTTTAGATCAAAACTACCTACTGTATGTATCATGCAATAAGGTAGTTTGAATGCAGTACATTAATAAATTATATTATGCTAACATTATTCTTGTAATGATAATGGCTATCTCCAATACAATCATATCTCAAGCTATGATGATTATATATAATTCAACATGAGGTGCTATGTAACAATTTCAAGTTCCTTATACTAGGTCGAGGAGGAAGAGGCAAAAGTAATTTTGCAGCAGAGCCACATCTCACCTTCTCCCACCATCTTGTCAAACAATGCAAGCCCGTCCAAAGGATCTCCATGGATACAGTGTCCAACGATCATCGCATTCCAGCAGACCAAATTCCGCTTCGGCATCTCTTCGAACACCCTTCTTGCAACGTCCACTCTTCTACACCTACTGTACATATCTACTAATGCCGTGCCAAATATCACATTATCATCTACAAAATTCCTAGTATAATATGCATGAATCGACCTCCCTCCATTGAGCTTGCCCAGCCTCCCACACGCTGTGACCACACTGACCATTGTCTTATCATTCCCCTTCAGCCCCTTCTTATCCATCAACCTGAAGAGCTCCAATCCCATTTCGGGGTTCCGTCCTTTTACATACCCACCGATCATAACATTCCAAGACACCACATTTCTTCCCGGCATTTCATCGAATAGCTCCCTTGCAGAATTCAACTCCCCTGAGGTGACATACCCATCGATCATGGAGTTCCAAGACACTGTGTCTCGGTGGGACATCTCATCGAACAACATGCGCGCGCAACCAACTAGGCCGCAGGTGGCGTACATGTGGACGAGGGAATTACGAACATGAAGGACGGCGTCCACGCCCCGCTTCACGGCCTGGCCGTGGCAAGTCTCCCCGGAGTCAAGGGACGACGCTCGGGCACAAGCGGAGAAGAGGACGGGGAAGGTGAAACTGTTGGGGGCAAAGCCGGAGCGGAGGTTGGCGACGAAGAAGGGGAGGGCGAGGAGCGTGTCAAGGGAGAGGGAGAGAGCCTTGAGGACGACGTTGGCGCAGAAGGCGTCGGGGGCGGGGACGCTGCGGAAGAGGAGGAGGGTGTAGGAGAGCGGGGCGGCAGCGGAGTCAGCTGCGGCCTTGAGGAGGCGGGAGGCGGCGAAGGAGTCGTGCAGGAGGCCGGTAACGAGGAAGTGGGCGTGGGCCTGGAGGAGGCCGCGGAGGGAGCGGCAGGAGAGGAGGGGGCGGAGAGAAGGGTGGTACAGGGAGATCCTCTTAGGGGGAGAGGACGGCGGGGGAGGGGAGAAGAGATTGGGGTTGAAGCGGATGACGCCGCCGGCGCGGAGGGGTTGACGGCCCATTCATGGAGACGTATCGCTCGCATCCGTTTGGCCTCCCGCCCATAGGGATTTATTTCTCACGTATCGGTATCGGTTCCGGTATGACAACATAACGGTATGATGGAACCAAAGTAACAGATATTTGGTCTATTATTCCTTAAAGGTCATCTAAGCCTTAATCATTGGTATTTCTCTTTAATATTATCATCTATTTCAATAAAAGCTTAATTATTGTTTCTATGGTTATAACACTCACATAGCTACTTTACGATATCAACATTGGGGATTACCCAATTCAATTTGGATGATTTGGCATAGTAGAGTTAGATCGGATTAATGATAATTTGGGTCAATCTTTGGTCAAATTTAATGTAGAGTTGGAAGCAATAATTTCTCTGGGAAGAGAAACAGAGAGAGAGAGAGAGAGAGAGAGAGAGAGAGAGAGAGAGGGACCTCAGGAGCAGGCGAAGAGGATAAATGAGAGGGAAGAGAGAAGCATACACCATCGATCGTCGAGCCCGGGCTGTGCGACCTCCATCCAGAGAGAACCCCAAAACCTTTGACCTCTTGGGCCACCAAAAACCATGGCTAAATCGACGAGGACAGTCCTCCAGCACATTGAGTCAGTCTTGACCAAGGAAAGGAGACGCATAGCGCAGTAAATGAGGCATCGCACTCGCAGCTGCGAGCCATGGGGAAGAGGCAGCGACCTGCAAGCATTGGTGGTGAAAACAAGGCATGCAGGAGACGTCACCTCAAGGATGACAGCATCTCTGACGCCTCTCCCGAGCGTCGACTCCCGAGGGAGGAAAGCACCACGCACTAGTGCATGACCCTCGGCCAGCGAAGAAAGAGGGGGGGGGGGGTTGGGGGAGAGAACTGTAGTCGAGCAGGTTGTCATGACATGGTAATCATTCTTCTGTGATTTGTTAGACGCCTTCGTCGTCTATGGCTGCCTGTGGTTTTGGAACCAGAGAAAAAGGGCGTCTCTACGGATCATTCTAAAGTCAGTGTCAGAAAAGATCATCCACAGGCTTTGATTCCCTCCTTATCCGAGCAATCTTGCTGCTCTTTAATGTCTTTTATTAGCTTGCAGGCCTTTCTATCAGTCCTCATATCTCAAGTCGAGTAAAAGATTGCAATGTTTTACAAGCAGGTTTGGGAGATAAAAGGAAAAAAGCAGAAATAATTGACCGAAAGTATATGAAGTATACAAAGCAAGATTCTGACACATTCATGGAATTCAGAGAGGGCTGTGCATGGGAGCAGAAGAAAAACATCAAGAAAGGCCAAAGCCAGCTATTCCATGCATCGTCAGAGTCAGATTTCTGTGGATTCCCTTCGCTACCAATTCATACATTATCACATGAGGCATAGACTTCCCTGAGTTAATGACATAAATGAATGCATGAAATCCTAAATTGGGGAGGATTTTAACTCACTTACGGAAACATTAATTAAGTATTTGATGCTCTACCAGTGAACTACATTTGACCTAATTCATAGAAATGACTACAAATGTGACTGAGATCACCTCAATACCTTATGTTTTATGGTCATAAACCAAGCAAATTCCTTCTGCCATCCATTAGACTACAAAGGGGGTCATGTACTTTACAAAGTTTATGAGAGTCTTCTGTGTGTGTGTGTGTGTGTGTGTCTATATATATATATATATATATATATATATATATATATATATATATATATATATATAACAGCCATGCAATAATAACATGAAAGTGTATATAAGTTTGATTTTAGGTGAAGTGTAAGATTTTTTTGCTGCCAAATAAACCCTAGCTTTTTAACACATGCAATAACTAGTTTTCATGATGGGCTGTTCTTTGGCAGAAATCTACAGGGAAATGGACACATCAATCATGATAAGAGAATACATCATATTTGCTCATATCTCGAGACAATGAAGCAAATTGAAGAAGACAATGGTAGGTTTTGCTTACGAGTAGATGAAGAATGCATGCAGTAGTCGATTTTATTTTCTTCTGCCTTCTACTCAACTATCTCCTTTTTCCTCCTCCTCTCCTGTCCAGTTTCTGCATCTTCTGTGACCTCTGAGAGCGCACTGGTTCGCCATGACTAAGAAATGTTAGCTTGCGAAGGAGAGCTTGCTTTAGTGTGGCCTGCCCAATGTGATCTCAAGATTCGGCTTGCTCGAGCTCGATGTTTCTGAAAAGCTTGGTGAGTTCAATTCCAGGAACATCTCAAAGCTCTTTGGTTGCATGTCCTGCTGCAGAAGAAAGAAGAATCTGCATCATTTTTGGTTCCTCTTTATGTGCATCACTGTATTTCGCATTCAAAGAGATGAAACCACAAAAAACTAAGAGAATTAAGTGCAGTTTTTATATAGACTAAAATATTTCCTCGAAAAAGACATCAAATGGAACCATTTCATGTTGACATGAAATAGTCAGTCATTCTTGAGATGAAGTTTAGATACCTCATAGTGCTGCATGCTTCCTGCAGTGGAACTTCTTGCCGTGCCATTATCAATGCTCCCCCTGTGGGAAAACCATCACTAAAGTCTCTATCAGTAGAACAAACCACCATGCATGAAATAATGGCACGCTAAAGCAGGTTGATTTTGCATATGACTTCATTTTATGGGTCATTGGCCCTAAAAGTTGCAAACACGTTCCAGAAAAGGCTAGCTTCTGCATCAAAGTTTCGGATATCATGAACACATCAACACTCTGAGAGCCTTGAAACCCCAAACTGACACCAGACTTGTCCTTTCAGAACAGATTTCTCAGAAGAGACTGCAACTAGGGATTACCGTCCTCTTGAAGGATCAGAGCATCATCTTGGATGCCTAAAACCTGGACACTTGGAGAAATGGTATGATCCAGTGGGAAGAAAGAAAAGGAGTGGAAGAGAAGATCTGCAAAAGGGTCAAAAGTGTGGTCTTCTTCTCAACCTTTTTCGGATGTACTCTTTGACTTCTAACAGATTTGACATGCATCGGTTTAAGCTTCCTTCTGTTCTGAAAGTGACTGAAGCTGATCTGAGCTTTCTTAAGATTAACAGTCAATTATGCTTAGAAAAAGGAATGTGACCTTCTTCTAAGGTTGAAAGTAAGCATCACAATGGAGTGGAGAAGAAATAGCCACTTTCATCCAAGTGCATGGTCATCTATTCTCTTCTTCTAATCTCTCTAGTCTGAATGGTATGTACATAATCTTTCTTCTGTGTTACACATCAGAAGTTGTGTGAGTACTCTTATATCAATCATGTATTTAGATAGAGGAAATAAGTCTGGAAAAAGGTGTCTTCATCAAATTACTGAAAGGTTGGAGTTTGGAGAACAACGGAAGACAACCCAACCAAATCAAGCTATTATTGCGTTGCATTGTATTTATGTAATTTAGTTCTTTCTTCGATTACTTGAGCTTTTTATTCACTAAATTTGTCCCAAAAACCGAAACCTTTGCTTTTCTGAGAATAGAACAGATGTCTGTACAAGCTAAATTTTACGTGAATGATGATTGATGAGCACACATGGCTAATGCATGAATCATGATCTTTTAGCACAGGAAGATTGTGTCTGGCTACCTTTGCTGACTTGACGATTCTGATAGATGAAGATTGTGAATGCCTACTGGATTGTCATCGGAATTCTCTCCCATCGAGCCATTCGCAATGGCATCAGATTGGCCTGGGACAAGAAGTAGTAGAATCCATTGTCAAAGAAGCTTTTAGGCAAGAACTGTAAGAGACAAAGCATTTGAACCTGATGGAACTGCGGGTCTATCGGTGTTCTTCAGAGTTCGATACATCTGCAACCACAGATACATAATTATCATCGAGGAATCTTGGCTGATCATCTTGTAAAGCACATTGCTTTTTGGTTTTAGACTACTTATAAGTCATTCCGCAGTATAATTATTTGCTCACTGAAACATCCAAGAGACTATGGACAACGTTGTACTGTTCGAGTGCAACTCATCAGAGTAGCTTCTTTTCACAGTTCGCTACTACTTTTTCTTGCAGTAGCATCTTTTCTGGTTTGAGTGTAAAAGCTGCAGCAATGCATGCGGTGAAAGGAGTACACAAGTGATGAGGAAATAGCAAGGATAAAACACAAGGAAAAGAAAGGGAGCTTTTCTCTACTCGATTCCAAGGGAAGATCTCTTTCCTGCTCGTGAAAGCGACCCTTCGATTCAGTTCTAACCCACATGGTCGGAGATCTCAGATTTGGTAAGGAAAAGAGCAAAGAGGAAGTAATCAAGGAGTTAAATTACATGAAGGAAACCAAGATCTGGAGATGTGGTAGAGGATCTGTCTTACCTGCAAGTGAGATTTCACATGAGCCAGGGTAAGATCTCTCACATCCATGAGCTCTAGAACTGACTTGGGCGTCGCCCCTGACCTCCAAAAGAAAACGAAAGAAGAGAAGTCACAAAAGGAACGCAAGATCTCTTCATCCATGTAAATTATATGTGCAGCTGGGAAGTGTATCGTACTCTCGTGGCCTCCCAACAGCTCCACAGCATGCACAAAGCGGGCGTGGAGTGCGGTAGTCCACCGCATCCTCGGCGCTCTCATGCTCCGCTTGGCAGGGAACCGCGGCGGCAGATATCTCGATCTCGACAAGCCTTGGCTCGCCACCAAGTGCGTTAAAGCATGATTGGAGGAGGAAGGAGATCCACACAGGTGATGCTGCTGATGCGGGGCGACTGCAGGAAAGAAAGGTGGGTGTTGGTAGATTGGGATGCCCGTTATGGGCTCCAGCCAGCTCTGCTCTTGGTGATGTAGCGGATGGTGGTGGTGGTATTGTAGGTGATCGTATTGTAGGTGGTGGTGATAGTGGCGAGGTTGAGAACGGTGGAAGGTGTCATTGCTTGTGGCGGCGGAGACCGCGGCTCTTGGGTTTGCCAAGGAGAGTTCAGAGGCGGTGGCTCTGGCTGCTGATGCAGCGGTTCTGTTCTTGTTGGTTGTGGTGGTCGAGTCCAAGTTCCTGCACCGAAACCCTAATTCCATGTTCTCATCACCTGGCTTTCTCCAACTTGATGCTGTGGCTTCGAGCGAGCTGATCTGAAGCGATAAATCTGCTGCTGCTGCTGCTGCTGCTGCTGAGAAGAGCT